TTTCCGTCTCTTCTGTGCTCTTTGTGCCTTAGGTGCTTTCCATCTTTCTTGAATGGGTTACCCTTGGTTCTGTGTCTTTGTGAGCCTTGTTGCTAAAAAGCTAATTTCGTGTTGTTGGCTTCGTATTTTTGGGTTTCCTGGTTGGTTTTCCTATGTGCTTTCCATGCCTTTTAAGATGGCTTCCCTTGTTTTCGCCTCTTCTCAAGTAGGTTAGCCTTGATCCAGTGCGTTTTCTACCCAAAAGCGTGGTTTCATACTTTTGGGGTTGCCGTGTCACTTTTCCCAGGCGCTTTCCATTCTTTTCAAAAGGGTTTGCCTTGCTTGTGTCCATTCTGTGCTCTTTCTGTCTTCTTGTGGGCCTTGGTGTCAAAAAACCTCTCATCTTAAGTTGATTAGCTTTGTTTCTGTCTCTTCTGTGCTCTTTCTGTCTTCTTGTGGGCCTTGGTGTCAAAAAACTCTCATCTTAAGTTGATTTGCTTTGTTTCTGTCTCTTCTGTGCTCTTTCTGTCTTCTTGTGGGCCTTGGTGTCAAAAAACTCTCATCTTAAGTTGATTTGCTTTGCTTTTGTCTCTTCTGTGCTCTTTCTGTCCTCTTGTGGGCCTTGGTGTCAAAAAACTATAATCTTAAGTTGATTTGCTTTGTTTCTGTCTCTTCTGCGCTCTTTCCGTCTTCTTGTGGCTGTCTCTTCTGTGCTCTTTCTGTCTTCTTGTGGGCCTTGGTGTCAAAAAACTCTCATCTTAAGTTGATTTGCTTTGCTTCTGTCTCTTGTGTGCTCTTTCTGTCTTCTTGTGGGCCTTGGTGTCAAAAAATTCTCATCTTAAGTTGATTTGCTTTGTTTCTGTCTCTTCTGTGCTCTTCCTGTCTTCTTGTGGGCCTTGGTGTCAAAAACTCTCATCTTAAGTTGATTGGGTTTGTTTCTGTCTCTTCTGTGCTCTTTCTGTCTTCTTGTGGGCCTTGGTGTCAAAAAACTCTCATCTTAAGTTGGTTTGCTTTGCTTCTGTCTCTTCTGTGCTCTTTCTGTCTTCTTGTTGGCCTTGGTGTCCAAAGACTCTCAGCTTAAGTTGGTTTGCTTTGTTTCTGTCTCTTCTGTGCTCTTTCTGTCTTCTTGTGGGCCTTGGTGCCAAAAAACTCTCATCTTAAGTTGATTTGCTTTGTTTCTGTCTCTTCTGTGCTCTTTCTGTCTTCTTGTGGGCCTTGGTGCCAAAAAACTCGCATCTTAAGTTGGTTTGCTTTGTTTCTGTCTCTTCTGTGCTCTTTCTGTCTTCTTGTGGGCCTTGGTGTCAAAAACTCTCACCTTAAGTTGATTTGCTTTGTTTCTGTCTCTTCTGTGCTCTGTATGTCTGCTAGTGGGCCTCGGTGTCGAAAAACCTCTCATCTTAAGTTGACTAGCTTTGTTTCTGCTCTTCTGTGCTCTGTCTGTCTTCTTGTGGGCCTTGGTGTCAAAAAACTCATCTTAAGTTGATTTGCTTTGTTTCTGTCTCTTCTGTGCTCTTTCTGTCTTCTAGTGGGCCTCGGTGTCAAAAAACCTCTCATCTTAAGTTGATTAGCTTTGTTTCTGTCTCTTCTGTGCTCTTTCTGCCTTCTTGTGGGTGTCAAAAAACTCTCATCTTAAGTTCATTTGCTTTAAGTTGATTTGCTTTGTTTTTGTCTCGTCTGTGCTCTTTGTGTCTTCTTGTGGGCCTTGGTGTCAAAAAATTCTCATCTTAAGTTGATTTGCTTTTTTTCCGTCTCTTCTGTGATCTTTGTGCCTCCCATGCACCTCGTAGTGATGCTGGCACTGTTTTTTGACAAACTGGGCCCCGACTTTCCACAAGGGCATCGGATACAAAAATGACAGAGAAAATGCTAAAAAAGTCGGCGGCATTCCACAGCACCAGAATGATCCCAAAAAGTCTTATTTTTTGCTGTGTTTACAAGTGTTTTGTGAACATTGCCCTTCAAAGCCTTTGAATGCCGGAAAACAAGAAAAACATGAAAAATTGACTCCCGTGCAGGTAAAATGCAACTTTTTGAAGGCAAATAAGCTCAACACAAACCCACCCAAAGCTACTTTTTACTATAAATTACAGTGTTTTTTGCACCTTCGAGCCTGCCTCAAGACACCCCAAAAGTCTGCAAATCACAATCTCGAACTTTCACCCCCCCCAACCCCCCCCAGCAAAACCTACCGGGGAGAAACTCAAAGCGATATTCATCGCTTTCCGTCATCAGCTTGGCCCCCCCCCCACCCCCCCGCTTCCCTTTCGGTAATACTTCCAAGCGCTACAGCGCTTTCCGTCATCAGGGGCCCCTCCCAAGACCCCTCCCCATAAATATCGGTAAATAAGTTCAAGCGCTCCGGGCGCTTTCTGCCATACGACAACGATTCTCTTCGGGGGTGACATCAGTAATAGAAAAAATGATGCTAGTCCCTAGCTCCCCAATCCGAGAGGCCGGTGTGGCTCCAGGATCTTGTCCCTGTACTCCTTCAGAAGCCCTCCAGTTTCGCCTGCTGGGTCGCTGGGTTCCCTGCCCACATCGAACTCTGTCTAAAACAGTCACCAAACACGGTTGAACAGCTGGACACACATGTTCCATCATGTTCCCAACAAAAGCAAGTTTAAAAGCTGCGAGACTTCATTGCTTCAGTGCGCGATCTATATCTATATCTATATCTATATATATCATTACATAGCTGCTCGGAGCTGCTCGATCCTCTTTTCTCCATCCAGCATGCTTGCTTGCTCTCTCTGCTGCGCCTGAGCTTTTCTCTCCTCCCATCCAGTGCCCAGTCCGACCGGCCGCGGAAAAAGAAAAACCAGGTCTCGCTTGGGAGGTGTGCAGCTTGAAGGGCCTGCATCTTTTTGAACACCTCGGCAAAGGACATAGCCAATTTCATCGCTTTGTCCTTGACATGAACTGTTGGGAGCCTTGGCAGTCGAAGAGTTCTGGGCTTTCCGGTGATGCGGTAGAGCTCTGAGACCTTGTGCGCACAAGTAGGTGCTGATGGGCCGTCGGCCTTGAGGATGATGTAAGTGGATGCAAGTCAATTGGCAAGGTAGGTCTCGGCTTTGACAATCGGTTTCCAAGCACCAGACGAGCCCAAACTCCAGCCTCCCACGCCCTGGCCGTGAGATTCGACCGCCAAAGATAGGCGGTCAAGAGCTTTGACCAAGTCACGAAGCTCAGAGCCCGGCTGGCTCATATAATCCAGTCTGGTAGCCCTCACAAGGCGATGGCGGGCTCGAAAAGCCGCCGAGGCAACCACCTGCGAAGCAGGAGATGAAGTAGAGCCTTGTGTAGAAGGAGCAGATGGCATAAGGGGCCAAATCCAAAAGATGGAAGCCAAGCAGAGGCCTGCAAAGAGACCAAGGAGCAAAGCGAGGAGGAGAGAGGCCCAAGAAGTCTGGTGGCAGTGCAAAGGACACTGCAAACCCCAAAGTCCTGAGTTCAAGGCCTCACTGTAAAACTAGCTGCCGATCGAACACAACCGAAACAAACAGTGCTGCGCATGCTGCGAGATCTTGAGCCACATCCGTGGCGGTGCGACAAACCTGCATGACGGTGCTCACAGGTATGATTGGTCACCCAAGCGGCTTCCATCCCCATTTTCACACTCATTTTCTTTCTTTGGGGTGAAATCATACCTGCCTTCGTCAAACAGTCTGCTGGCATCTTGGATGTCGCCACCCAATGCCAGGAGCTGGTGGCGTTCTCAGGAAGGTGATCTGTCAAAAGTGGATCACCTAGGAGCTCACCTTTCTTTCTCCAAAGCAGTTGTCTGGCGGCACTCAAATCAATCAATCGCCAAACGTTTGTCACCTACGGTGTGCAAACCGGGCTGCGCTGAAAGCTCGCGGAGCGAGCGACAGTCAGTGTACAAATTCATCTTGATCCGGTCCTGTGCTTTGATCTGCCAGGACTGGAGGTCTCTGCCATGGGGCGTACACAAACCGTGCAAAACAAACGAAAATGCTCACACTCTTCCATGCCGGCGATCATGGACATCGTCTCAGCTTGCAAGGTCGAGCGGCAAACCCGACGGATGCACGTAGAGTGCCAATCCAGCAGAAGGAGATGCCCAACATGCTCATGCTGGAAGCTCTCATGAGCCAAGCAAACCAAACGTCCACTTTGGCTTCTATAGCCAAGCCTCTTGCCAGAACCGCTGACATCGGCATCATTTGCAAATGAAGCATCCTGGATTCCAACCACCATGCCTTCTTCAAAGGGAAAGGCCTTCAAAGGGTAGGTGATACCCTTCTGCTTCGACTGGGTGGCAATCTTCACAATGCTGTTGGCGAACAGGATGTCTCCATGCGTAGCTTGGTTGATGTTCGACTGGAAGTGGCTGACAGCGTACGACAAGTCAGGTCGACACACCCTTGCCAGCCAGGCAAGTGAGCCCGCTACGCTCCTCAACTGGTTCTTGAGGTTTTTATTGGCCTTGGCCTCTTTTTGCTTCTTCTGCTCAACGGTGAGGTGGATTGGCCTCACCCTGTCCACAAGGCTTGGGCAGCTGACATGAACTCCATGTTCATCTTTCTTCACTTCTCTTCCGCAGTAGCGGAATTCATTCTTGGGCAACTTCTTGCAGATTTCTTGCATCTTCTCTTCAATCAAGGGGCCACCAGTCCACAGCAAGTCATCGACGTGGACCACTGCAAGAACTTTCCTTCATTGGTCAAAACACGCGCCGGTCCAAACCATTTGCCATTCTTGGAGAAGCAAACCAGATCACCTGTATGGTAGGGACCTCTCATGGACACGGACTTCCGGAGCAAGGCTTTTCTGATCCTCTGGGAGCTGTCAACTTGCATGCACATCTCCTTGGCAGTCTGTCTCATCAGCAGCTGCATCATGAACTGTTCTTGAGGAGTTCGTTCTTCTGCATCAACCAGGCCTTGATGAACGCCCAAGTGGTTCTCAGGATCCTGACTGTTGAGGCTAGTCAGGTCTTCTGGAGTGTGGCCTAGCACCCATTGGGCAAGAGAGTAGCCTCCATGGTTGATGAGAACGTTCTTGGCTCTTGCACACTCAGAGCAAAGTGCCGCAATGGTCGCAGCTCCAAAAATTTGCCGATCATGGATTGCTCGTTTCATCATTTAGTTGATCTTTCCACCATGTCTCTCAGCTGTTCCCAGCTGATGTGGTGCACGAGCTCCAGTCCTCCTCAGCGCAGTTCCATGGGCTTGTGCTGCAATGTCCCATCATCTGGTGGAGTCTTCTGATGGCCACTCTTTGCTCTCTTGGGATCTTCAGCCATTTCTCCTTTCTCTCACGGTGCTTCTGGCGCACGGACTTCTCATCTCCTCGTCCTTCTGCTGCTCATAGTCCTCCTCCGTGTCCAGAGCGTGAAGGTCAATGCGTCTTCTCTTGTGTTGCTGGTCTGCGACATCATCGGTGCCATAGATGCCATCCAGCATGCCTTCTTCTTGTTGACTTTCCATCTGGTATTCCACCGGAAATGCTTGCATCGTGATTTGTGACTTCAACTCATCTAAAGCTCCGGCAATGATCTCACGACACAGCTTCTCAGGCCATTGCTGTGCCTTCTTGGTCTTGTTGCCCTCGAGTGGGTCATGATGATGGCTTCACCACATAGTTGCTGCAGTCGACTTTTCATCTTTGAAGATGACAGGAGCATCACAGTGGACTTCTGGTGAGGTACTCCTTCTTGATTGGCGAGGCCATACATGCACTGATCCAACTTCACCAACTCTAAGGGCTCCCCAGTGCTCATGTTCCGTGGCTGACTTTCCAAAGTCTTCTCACAGCACTTCAACTGGTCGCTGGGAAACGACACATCCCAGTGAAGATGAAGACCTTGGATGAAGACTTCGTGCCTGGAAGCATCACTTCGGTGGAACTTGCAAACTCCAGCGCACCACTGCTTTTGTCAAGTCAAGCTCAAAGAAGCCTCGGCGTCATGCTGAACATGGCTGAGGACACTGTCTATTCAAGACGTTGGACAAAGAGCTTGAGATGGTCACATTGAATGGACTTCCAGCGCTGCGGCTGTACCCAGGAGATGAGACCTTGGAGGGCATTGCAATGATGATGTCAACAGAAGAGCCGACAACCGAGATGATGGAAGATGAAGTGGCCACCAATGAGACGGACAGCAATGAGACGAGTGCAGTGGAAGACGATTCAAACCTCACTGAGGAAGAGAGCCAAGGTGAACAAGGGCACCTACCACTCCACGAGCTCAAGAAGAAGATCCTCACCAAGAACCAGAAGAAGATGTTGAATGACTCCCTTGGTGACATGGAGAAAGAAGATTGTGCTATGTGGAGTGTACTGCAAGGCGATGTGAAAAGGCCCAGGAGGACGTTGCCAAAAGGATGTCGATCCTTCGTGATGGAGGTGTTCGCAGGAGCAGCAACATTGTCACGCATTGCGGCCTCGATGGGACTTGCTGTTGCTCCACCCATCGACATTGAGCATGATGCCAGGTATGACCTCTTGCAGTCCAAGAACCGGGACATGCTCTGGGACACCATAGAAGATGAAGATCCGTTCCTCTTTGTGGTCCAGGAAGAAGGGGAGGTTGTGTGCCCGTGTACTTCATGTACTTCACCATCCACTCGGAGCCACGACGGGTGTTGTTGCAGCCGGTGTCAAGGATCACATAGAGCTCGGTGGTCTCATCGTCTTCAGACTCTTGCTGCGCCATGTAGGCGGTGTCAGAGCTCTTGCAATCTCGGGCCATGCAATAGGCTGCAAATGCCTTCAAACAGGGGTCTTTGATGGTGTCATTCTTGAACTTGGTCACCATGCTCTTGACATAGGTCTTCTCACACTTGTAGACCCACTGAAAGGTGTGACCTTCATTCTTCATGTACTCCATACTCGAAGGTCTTGTCATGGTACTTCTCAACATCCATCTTGGAAGGGCTCTCGGGACTCTTCGCTGGCGATGAACTCTTCTTCACCGGTGAGTCCGGTGTCTGCCGTCGTCCTTGTGCCGGCAAACGACATTTCTCATAGACCCTGTCCAGCTGCTCCACCGTGAGTTCGCCTCCAATCTCCTTCTGCAGTGAGCTCAATCGCGACATCAGCTTCACCTGAAGTTGCTGACGACGAGGATGCAGAAGGATCACTGCCCTTGCCTTTTGCCTTGCCAGCTCGATCACCCTTCTCGAAGTGACCGCAGTCCTTGCACTTCCATTGCCAGGTGGTGCCGGTGCTTCCCCGCCAGTCCTTCTCAGCATGATCACATTCTCCATGCTTCTTGCCACTCTTGACATCATCGACGTCCATCTTGCCATCCTTGACCTTCTCCTGCTCCAAGATCTTGTGGCAATCCTTACACTTGAGGATCTTGACATAGCCATTGGATCCCTGACAGGTAGTAGTGTTCTTGCGATGGCAGGTCTCTTGAGTAGGAGCGCTCAAAGGTCCATAGGAAGGCGGTGCCGGACTTGACGTCATAGATGGAACCCGAGGCAATCCACGAGTTGCCTTCCACAGCCAACGTTGGAGCCGATCATGGTCTTCCATCGCGAACAATGGATGTCCAGGGTACACTTCATTCCAACGCTCCTGGTAGGCATCCTTGTACTCTGCATTGTTGTAGTCGTTCACGACCGCCATGAAGGTGTCCAAATGCGCCTTTCTCTCAAGCGAGTGCAGGATCGAGTAGTCCGCCACTGGCACATAGTCGCTCCATTCAGGCACTGATGCATCCTGAATGGGCTGAGGCTGCTGCTGTCTCAGCTGTCGGAGTCGAGCCTCAGCGATCAATCGACCCAAGGCTTCATCAGCCGTCTCTTCCTTCATCACCAGGTGGACCTCCGGGTCGATGTCGTTCTCAGCCTCGTACTCATTGATCGTGAAGTAGACCGTGCGAGACTTGTCTGACTTGCCACTCTTCGAGCCTTTGCCAGACTTGGGTGATGCTGAGGTAGATGTCGATCCCGATGAGGTAGGTGAACTGCCTTTTCCTTTTCCTTTCCTGAAGGAGTTGTGGACACTGTGGATCATTTGCCCAATGACCAGTCTGGCCACAACGACGGCATTGGGTCTTGGACTTCAATTGCTGCACGCGTGCTTTTCGTTCTTCCATGGTCAAATGACCTTGCACCTGAAATTGCCGCGCAGCTCCACCACCAAAGCCATGATGACCACTTTGGCCTGCTTTTGACCTCAGGAAATAGGCCTCAGCTTCGGCCTGCAACACTTCTGCCGCATACTCGCTCATAGTCAGTCTCATCGAAACCATCTTCCAACATACTGTTGTAGGCAAAGAAATTGAGGTCATCTTCGTCCATGACATAGGCAGTGTCCTCATTGTCGTACTCCTCATAGCCACCAAGCGACTGGGAATTGGAGTCTCTTCACATTCATAGTACTCTTCAGGGCCTTGAGCGTGGTAGGCACGAGACCACGGTCGTCGATCTTTTCCTCCATAGCCCTTGCCATGGTAGCCTTTGTACGACTTGCTGTAGTGTCCCTTGCCGCTCTTGGTCTCCCTCTCATGGATGCGGCTGTGCTGTGCCACAAGCTCTTCGCAAACACGCTCCATGGTCATCTCTCCTTGGATGGCTGCTCGAATGAGGAGCTGATAGTCGGCGGAGAGGCCGGAGTTCTGGAGCGTTTGCTCGGCCAGTATGCCTTCCGGCAGCTTCAACGAGGCGTCCATGTCCAACATCAAGTTGTACCAAGCTTTGCGACGGAGAACATAGCTTGGACAGCTTGGAATGCTTTCGCCTGTCTGCCGGCTCAACACTCCTCCAGATTGGGCACCGACTTGATATAGGTCCCGGGCCTCCTGCTTCGACCTGGGCTGCAACGTCGTCTGCAGCGCCTTCAAGAGGATGGACGTGCCCTCATCCTTGGCGAGTTGGTCGACTGGTAGTCCACGAGCAACTTGCAATGCTGGCCCTCGTAGTCCATCGACGAGTCTCAAAGCCAACGGTCCGAGCTTTTTGAGCTCGGATTCATCCATAGCTTTCTCACGGGCCTGCCCCAAGCGGACTCTGAACTGGTATTCAGCGAGCTTGGCAACATCGCCATCATATCGAGGGACGTCGCTTTTGGCCTCCATGCTCCAAGATTCATCTTGGACGGCGCTGAACGTTTGCCATCGCAGGCAATCAACGATCGACATCGCGACCGGAGCGGGGTTGTGGAGAAAACACAAAGCCACTGAACAAACCTTGAAGGTCCTGGAAAAATCGTGGGGCTCTTTCCGAAAAAAAAAGTTCCCTGGAGTCTGAGCTCCGCTGCCAGTGTAAAACTAGCTGCCGATCGAACACAACCGAACAAACAGTGGCGCCCTGTTTCTGCTGTGCATGCTGCGAGATCTTGAGCCACATCCGTGGCGGTGCGACAAACCTGCATGACGGTGCTCACAGGTATGATTGGTCACCCAACCGGCTTCCATCCTCATTTTCACATCACGGAGGAAAACGGCTGCGCGAGCTGCACTCTCGAACCACATCCCTGCAAGACATCCTATTTTAAAGCGTCCATCAGCACACGTGGCCCAGTCCTGCTTGCTTCCCGCAACAGAGTTCCTTGGCATCCACCCATCAAACATTTTCGACACATCTAGAACCTGCTGTAGCCGAATGCACAAGCAGAAATACACTTAGATAAATGCAGTTCCAATTCCTGAACTCAAGCATTCCTAAACTCAAGGTACGCAACACTGCCGGCTGGTCATAAGCACAAGAGCCGAGCTTCTTGGGCCTCAAAGGCTTGGCTAATGTCTTTGATCATTGCAAAATGATTGGCGTTGTCGGTGTGCAGAATTGCTGCCACGACCACTTTTCTGGCTTCCTTGTAAATGTCCTCCGTGTCTGGACTGACAGCACAAAACGGAACGATGATATAAACATAACAAAAATTACGGCTTGTAGGTTGCAGCTGCCCACAGCTGAAAGATACACCAAGCTGAGCCAGCATCAAGTCACCAAGTCTACCATACTAACATAAAGCCCCAGGCGTTGTAAGCTTGGAGCCTCCTACGTGAAAGCATGTATCTGCCATCTGCTTTTTAGCATCTATATAAGTACATACTCCTATATCTACTTTCCGAGCTCTGAAGGCTATAGGGCTACAGGTTATAATTACACACCTGGGAAAACATGCAGCCACAGGTGTCCATCAAGAGATCAAGAGTGGGGTCCTTCGAAGCTTTTCCAAAGGCATTTGCAGTTGGATCGTTGCAGATTTCAAACCTGTCCAAGCCAACAGAATTCCAAAAAATGTTGTTTGAAAAATCCTGTTGGGTCTGGCCTTTGGTATCTGCAGCTGAGGTACAGTTTGGCACAGCGCATGTTCTCCAGGGGAGATTTGTCGTTGTAGGTGATGGCCAATGGGTGCCCGGACTCCACCAAAAACGGATTAGTCCTTGATCTGCGCATGTTTCCTCGTTGACACACTTCGGAACCACACCACCTGAAGGTCAACTGGGCGTCCGGCTTTCCGAAGTGGCCCATGTCATGGCATAAGGCCGCAATCAGCAAGGAATACCTCAAGCAAAAAGCACCGCAGCCCAACAACTACTCGCAGTGCAGCACTCCTTGTGTCATATGGTAGGCTTCCACCTGAAAAAGCAAAAGTCCATTCAATTGAGTCACTGCTCCACCTCTCTCATCCAAAAGCGCCCAAAGCTGAGACCACAAAACCGGAAGACCGTGTGGAGAACGTCGCACGCGTGAGCAAAGCAGTGGTAGGGCACATCCTGATAATTCCTCACCATGGACCCATTGTGACTCACATGGTGACCAATATGCCATAGCAAGTGGCTTTAGCGGCTAAACGAGCTTCAAACAAACACCCTGATGGCGGCGGAGCTTCGGCTTCACAGCATCGTAAAAGGCTTTGAAGGCCGAATCTTCACAGAACATCTTTGCGATCCCGAACTCGGAGTCGAAGAAAATATGCCTTCCAGTCACATAAAGAACTGTAAGGACAGTTTGCATGATATGCAAAATCCTTACTGGAAGCACTTCTTTGGACCACAAGAGTCTCAAAGTTGCAGCGAAGCAGCGTTGTCATGCTTTCCATCCCGGCAGGATCCAGCGATAGTGTATCAAAGTCCTCAGTGCAGCAATGCTCCAAGCTTTCCTGCTGGGTGAAAAGACGCACAGTAAAAAGTGCCCTCACAGTGGCCTGATGAAGAATGCGGGCCTAATTTATGCGCCGAAGCTCCCATGATTGCAGTCTCAGCTCCAAGTCCTTGCAAGTCTCTCTGCCGCCGCTTGAAAAGGAGTCGTGTCACAGAAACTCCTGCTTTCTTGGGCCTCTCTCTCTCTCTCTCTGGTCCTGTTTCTCTTTCCCCATGGATCGCCTTATCTCCAGCAAGGCTGGTGTCATGGTTTCGCCGGTGACCTCTCAATGTTCTGTCAAACATCCGCAAATGATCAATATGAGTCCTGCTTTCTTTGATAGTATGGACGGCCTCTGTCTGCAACATCTCCACCAGCACGGCTTTCTCATACCTGGGGATCCGTGGCTCAGCATGCGCTTCGATTCGTCTCCCAAATGGACTCACATCAATGCAAGCCACTCGCTCTTCGTCGCCATCTCTTCTTTGCTAATCACATTTTTGTTCAGAGCCTGCCCACAGGACAGCAGTGGAAGAATTCGGGAAATTTGTAAATAAACAGCACATTGACACTTGCGGGACATAGTGACGCTGGATTCTGGCCTGCGCTGCAATCCGGGATAACTTCTCCAAAGTCTTCTCCTTGGTCTCAGCATGTGCTGTTCAGGTCCATTGTCACATTGGCCAGTGTTGCCACGTGTATCACTACCCAAGGATTGCCCAAGCCTTCGTCGCCTTCATGATCGTCATCCAAGAGGCAATCGTCTCTAACTCAGTCGCCCTGGTCTCTTCATTGTCCTCCTCCTCATCATCAACGCTGGCGCATATGTCCATCAACGATTGTGCGGAGGTCATCAGACCACTAAACATCTTTTCCTGAGGAGGCAAGGGATGGATGCGAAGGACAGGAGACATGGAAACAAACGTCGGGACCGTTATGGAAGATCAACAATCATCGGCATCCATGATGTTTCTCCGGTTTTCTTCCTCGTCTGGCTCGTCTCATCCACTGTGCTGGCACGATTTGCTTGAGGTGTTGGCAGCCAAGCTTCCAGCGGTCTCACCATCATCATCGTCAGGACGCTGCCCAAGTCTTGTGTCATGCCAATCATGATTGCGACGATCACAATCACCAGTGCAATCTCCATCAAAGCCTCAGACCCAACACTCAACACCCGACCCTCCGCCCCAAGCCTCAATCCAATCCAAAGCCGTCAAGGAACTGCTATCTGGTGGGCACCCGTGAAGTTGAAGAGGACCTTCGCTTTGCTGCTGTTGTCGCAGCCATCCCGCAGAACCAGGCACTCAGAGACCTCGATGATCACCCGATTCTGTGAGCGTGCAGGTTGCTGCACCGAGGTGAGGAGTGTGTAGTTGAAACCTTCCAAGGCATAGGGTGCATAGTCGCTCGACAAGTAGAAGCTGGACATTGTAGACCTCGGAGTCAAGCACCGAGGTCAAAGGTCATGCCACCGCTTGGGAGGACAATGTTTCTTGAGTTCAATTGATCCAAGCAGCACTTCGATCGAGAATTTGGTCTCATTGGACGTGGCCTGCTTCGAAGGCCAATGGGTTTTCTTAGAGTCCAGCTGTTGAGATCATGATGAGTCAAAAATGAAGTATTCCCTGAATGACATTAGTTGGCTGATGAATTACAATCAATGTTGTAACTGCCCATGTCGTCTGCCCCTTACTCATATATACATCATCCTTCCTACACAATAACAACTCTCGGCTGCTGTAGCAGCAGGTCCGAGAAAACTGCTCCAAATCTGTTTCTGAACCATTCTAAACCTATTTGAGGGTACCTGGATCATGTAGGAGCACGCAAACGGATCCTGTTGAAACCGAACCATTGCGGCACACAAACAACAACAACAACTTCTTCTTCTTCTCTCACGCTGAGGGGAGGTCTCTCCGCTCGCGCCATCTTCCATCAGCCGTTGCTGATGGGATCATGAGATCTTCTGTACGTGGATTGGACATCCAACTAGGATACAAAAATTCGAATCCACATGAAAAATATCGACTCTCAGGACCAGCCCTCAGGAGGGCTGCAGCTCTCGGCTCGCGCTCAGCACAGCGCTCGGTTCGGCAGCTCGCAAGCGGACGGCTGCACGCTGCATCCAGCAGCACAGCAGCCAGCGTCAAGGCAGCCGTCGAGCGCGGCTGTCATCCAAGACTCGATCCAAGACACTTCTCAAAACCTGGCCAAATGCACCTTGGCAACTCGGTGCTTCATCCTGGCCTTCAAACTGATCTCCAAGGCTCGAAGTGGCCTGAGCTTGCAGTGGTAGCGGAGTTTCATCGGAGTCACTGGAATCCTCAGTCTGGGTTGGCAGGACCTCAGTAAGAGGCAGTAGCCAGAAGAGTACGGATCTCCCCACGCACCATTTGGGGAGTTGAGTGGTGACGGAGTTCATGGTCCTGACAAAGGAGCCACTGATCATCATGCCTGAGGACAGCTCGAAAATGTCCTGAGTGGCTGGATCCTAAGTGGCAGATCAGGGCCTGAATGCGGTACTGTGCCCAATGAAGCTCTAGCCCTTGACCATAGAAATGTGGCAATTCAACCATCGAGCGCACATCGGTCGGATGAAAGTGGCCTAGGTGCCGAGTCAGGCTCATGAGGCGGTCAGCAAAAATAACTTTCATGCTTTGTGTCTGTGTGAAAGCAGCTCGCATCCCGTGGCCATATGTCCACATTTGGCACAATCATACAAGGTGGGGGACGCAAGATCAAGCTCATACATTCCATCAAGAGCTAGCGGCTGACATTTTCCTCCAGTTTCTTCACAGACAACGTGGTCTGCCATTGAAACACGACGGGCCCAGCTCATGTCTACATTGCAACAGGCACACCACTCAAGGAGCTCAGCTGTAAACTCAGCGCAATCTCTCGGACCAGTCTCCGTGGTGCGCCTCAGCAAGGAGCTCAAAGCTGGCATGGTTGCCAAAGGAACAGCCTGCCCCCCAGGCTGAAGCAAAAGGGTCTCACAGACCGCTGCTGCTACCCCAAAATCCCCGGTTACAGCCCCTCCGATGGAGGTGACTCCACAAAAAGCACATCAGGCTGGAGTTCAGGAAGCACCAGTTGCTATCATTGCTAAAGCTGATTGTCTTCAGTGCTTGAATCATAGCCTGACGTGAGAAGTGCTCTTCATTCATCGTGTGCTCCTGGTCATCGTTGCTTCCTGTAGATCTTGTACCAGGCGGCTCCTCTGGAGTCCTTGTGGTTTCAATCGGCCAGCAACGAGCAGCCAGACACTGTGGTGACATAAGGAGCGGAGGAGCACCATCAACTGATCGTTCCTCATCGGAACCTGTAGCCTCCATGGGAATGTTTCCCCTTTCGAGTTCGGACTCGCCATGGAGTTGAAGCGGATGATATTCTCCTGCTGGTTCATGGCACTGCGGAGGGCCGTGAGTTTCCGCTCTATCTCCTGTCTGCTCAATGGCTGCAAGGTGGTCGATGGGATGAGCATCTCCTGAGTTCGATCCCACATCAAGTACGGCATGGTGCCCTGCGGAAGAATCAGGTGTGATTCCTGACTGGCCTTCATGAAGGTCTCGTCGGTGAGCTTGTTGCAAAAGCTGGTATAGCGTTGCATCATCTGGTCCATCGCTGTCTGCATCAGGCTTGCTCGGAGAGGTTTCGTTGGTTCGCTCTCCTCCCGCCAGTCCTTGCCGTCTGGAGCAGCTGAGGGACGATGCCTTGCGCCGCCCTGTTGAGGTACAAGATGAAGCTGTCCTCGGAGTGGATCGACTGGAGGGAGTCCTCGTGCCTGATCAGAATTCTGGCCATCAGATTGCATAGTTGGTTCAGGTTCTGGTCTCTGTGAGGGTCTGGGACCTCATCTCCGGCTTCATTCCTCCTCGATGCTTCTGGCGTTTCGGTCGATGTGGAGCTTCTTCTTGATCTGGAGGTACGAGCATATTTAAGAATGCTGCCTGGAGCTGGGAGGTTCGGTCGGCTTCGGTGAGCCTGACTTGCTCCTCTCGACGTGCCATAGGGCCCAAGCTGAGCGAGGATGAGACACACGTTCAAGATGGTGGGGCACTTGTGTGAGATCAGTGCCCAGGCACTAGTGTCTTCCAGCTGATAGGTGGATTGCTCAGTGCCACAAAGGGTGCAAGGTACTCCAAAGCCTTGAGCCTTCACACTCTGGCTCACGTACAGCAACAGTTGTGCAATCCGGTTGGTCAGGTCGCCATGCTGATGTACAAGATGCTCCAACAACATATGAGGTGTGTTGAAGGTTCTATTGCACGCTGAACAACAATGGCTGAGGGCCTTGCATGCGGTGGCATCAATCCAGATCTTGTTGAAGGTCCGGTCACCGATCATCATGGCCAGCGTTGGAGCCTGTGCCAGCAAGTGGGGGTTGTTGGTGAGGAGACGTAATACATCTGGTTGATCAGTCTCCCATGGGACCAGCGCCTGTAAATGACCAGGATTGAGTACATGGTGGAGCATTGCAATCTGACGATGTGCCAGGCATCGATGGCTTCTTCTTTGTTGTGCCGTGGTTGGATTACAACTGCACCCTGGTTGAGTTTCTTCAATCAATGCAGTGTAGTTCTCTGAGGCCTTGTGGAACTGTCCATGCTGCGTCAAAATGTGCCTCATCAAGCCAGGGGCTCTCTGTAGACCTTGGCCACACATTGCGCAGGTGATGGTGAGCAGCATCTTGTTGTTGGCGCCGTCGAGGAAACGACGCCAGTGCCCCACAAAAGTGACTCTAGCATAGCTTCTTCTTTCCTTAGTACCCCTTGCTGGTCAGCCAAGTAGTCGATGCAGTTGCACGAACCACGATTTATATGCCTTTGAAGTTCCCAGATTTCTTTGAAGTCCGTCCCGCAGTGTCGACACTGCGGCCGTCCCCTGACAGTGTCCCTGATGCAACTGTATCGGGGATGATCATTGCGCAAATGCTCGTTGAGCTGTGCATCTGTCGTTAAGATCTGAGCACAATGCAAACAAATGGTAGCGGAGCGCTGCGGCAGGTCCATATCCTGAGTGGCAAACAGTGAGGCCAACTGGAACAATGGGCTGCATTGATGAGAGTGCTTAAAGATCTTATTGCAGTACATGCGTGGGGAACGAACCTGAGCTATCCATGGTTGATAGATTTTATGAGTACTAGACATCAAAATCTGAGGATGTTCATTAGCAATGTGCTGCTGTCCAGTGCGGGTGCACTTTTGAAAACAACCACAATGAACACAATGCCATGTGAGCCATCTGGCCCATTCAGGTCTATTCTGAAGTTCTATTAACGCTTGAGGTACTGACAATGCTCGAAAGTGGCTTTGGAGATCAGTGTGAATCGTCTCTCCTTGCATTTCACTCGAATATGCATTGCAATATCCATGTGTGATGTGTTGCTTGAGCTTAGTCCAGCACTGAAATCGGGCGTCACAGTGCTTGCACTTCGGTGGTCCTTCAACCGCGTCACGGTCGTACCTGAAAAGGCGCGGTTTTCGGCTGTGAATGGCATGTGTTGCCTGTAGATGTTTGGTCAGCTGTGCTGCATTACTGTATTGCAGGTCACACACCGGGCAGGAAAATGTGGATGGGCTCAGCCACCTGTCCACGGTATCCATGGTTGACATCACATCCAGTATCATTTTGGGACCCTCATAGTCCACACAATGCAAGATGTCGTTCTGTGTGCAGTTGCAAAGTCTGAGGTTTTGACGCCGGAGCAAGGCCAAACAAAGACGACGGATGTAAGCCAAAGGAGGTTCTATCTGTTGTTCATGAAAGAAATCGGTGTGACTCTGACCAGTGCGAAATGAGTGATTTGCCAATATCATTCTTTGCATCACTGTCAACGTCGATACCAGTCTGCTGAGCCCCGATCTTTTCAGTCCAACAATCAATGTACCAGATGGATTGCTTCCGGGGGATTTTCAAGAAGTACCCATTAGCAGTCCTCTGCGCACACTGACTTTGAAGCAAGGTCTGATTACGACCATGGACTGTGAGCATGGCTTCAGTCTTGTTCAGATTGATTTTCATTCCAGCTTCTTCCAACAGGTCAAGCAATGTTCCCATTCGTCTCAGGTGCTGTTGGCATTCTTCCAGGCTCCCGAATTGTCCCTGTGCCAATATGTCATCAGCAAACAGGGTGATGGCATCTCGCAGCCAATCTTCTCCCGTGCAACGAGCAAGCTTCCGCATTTGATGAACCGTAAAACAAGTCCACAAACGGTGCCGCAACACATCCCTGTCTAATGCCTAAGTTAATATAGGAATAGAGGCGGTCTGAAATTTATGGGTTACGTGATAACATGTTCCTTCATGCCATGCTCGAAGCAACGTCTGGTGGGGCTGATCGACACCTAAATCCTCAAGGCTCGAAAAAAGTTCCATTCTAGGGACCGTATCGAACGCTCTTTGAAGATCAATGCTAAGGGTCACTCCACCATAGATTTTCGGGGGTGAGGGACGCATACTGTATTGTCTTTTCTGGGAAATGACTCGGTTGCAGTGCATCAAAGCTCTAACTATGGCGTCCTCGCAGCCCCGTCCCTGCATGTGCAAACT